GATCAGTACGATCAGCTGAGTAAGGACGTGCAAAGGTTCGTCTCAGACGAAGAGACAGGTAACACCTTTGCGTACTGGTATGGCAGGTACGGACCGGTTATACGCGACTCCCAGCTTTCGGATCAGAAGAAGCGCGACTTGATCCTAATGAAGCTGGATGAAGAAGCATACCGGAAGTATGCTGATGAGGTCTTGCCTGCGCAACCGAGCGACTTGGACTTTGACACCACCGTCGCGAATCTTCAGAAGCTGTTCGCCTCCAAGAAGACGCTCATCAGGAGACGGTATGAGTGCCTGAGGATAACCTGCCCTCCGCTTACTCCAGCGTACGTACCATTTCGCGAGTACGCCAATACCATCAAGCGGATGGACGAGGATGCCCGGCTTAAGGAGGTCGATTACACGGCAATGAAGACGCTGCAATTCGTAGCAGGTCTTCAAGATCCCTCACTCAGGGAAGTTCGCCTTCAGATGATTCGTCGACTAGACGCTCACACGGACGAAGCACCGCTGACAATCGAGGACCTAGTCGCGGAATGTGAAAACTTCACTGCCCTGAAAATGGATAATACAGACATGGAAGGCACGCGAGACATCCATGCTGTGTGGAAGAAAAAGGTAAATTGCTTCATACGCGGAGGGCCACATTTCAACGAGAATGTCCTCAATCGGGCAGCACTGGTCGGAAGAAGCGACGGAGGACAAGTGCAAAAGACTTTGGTCGCAAAAGACAGTGCAAGAATGTGGTCGCTTTCGACGCCGAGAGTGCGCGGACTTATCTCGACGTCGTAATCAAAGGATGCTCTCTCAAACTCCAGTTGGATACAGGAGCGGACATAACCCTGATATCGCGTAGAGCTTGGAAAAGGATGGGAGCCCCTGCTTCAAAAACGTGTGCCATGCCAGTCAAAACTGCAGACGGAACGCCGATGCAGATTTATGGTAAATTTTCAACCGATTTCTCTGTTAGAGATCGACATACAGGAAAGATGGTTCATGGAAACGGCACATGCTACGTCACCGAAAGCTCGAACTTACTGGGATTGGAGTGGTGTATTCAGCTGCCGGCATACAAGAAGCTGAAGGATAACTACCACTGCAGGAAGGTGACTAGCGAAGAAAAATTTCGAGCCGAAGTGGTCGCCGATTTGAAGGAGCGATATGCAGAAGTCTTCAACAGCGATCTGGGAAAATGCACGAAGAGCAAGGCAAGGCTAGTTTTGAAGAGTGATGCTGTTCCAGTTTTCAAGAAGAAGCGACCGGTGCCTTACGCGACAGCACCGGAATTGGAAGCCGAGATCGATTGCTTGGTAGCCGAAGGAGTTATTTCTCCGGTTGAACACTCAGAATAGGCCGCACCGGTAGTTGCTGTCAAGAAGAAGAACGGGAAAATCCGTCTTTGTGCCGACTTCTCGACAGGATTAAACGATGCATTGCAGTTGCATCAGCACCCATTGCCCACAGCGGAGGAGGTGTTCGCGAAACTAAACGGAGGCCAGCTCTTCACTCAACTCGACTTAGCTGAAGCTTATTTGCAAGTGGAAGTTGAAGAAGCATCAAAGGAGATGCTGACTATCAATACGCACAAGGGATTGTATCGCTACAATCGATTGCCATTCGGAGTAAAATCCGCTCCAGGCATTTTTCAACAAATAATGGATTCGATGATAAGCGGACTTGATGGAGTGGCCGCTTATCTTGATGACATCATCATCACAGGAAAGAGTTATGAAGAACATCGTCAAAATTTGGAAGCCTTGTTTAAGAGAATCAAGGACTATGGATTTCACGTCAGATTGGAGAAATGCAACTTTCTGATGCCCCAGATTTGTTACTTAGGCTGCATCATCGACAAGATCGGACGCCGGCCGGACCCAAAGAAGATTGAGGTCATCCAGCAGATGCCAGCGCCAAAGAATCTAGCGGATGTTCGTTCTTTCCTCGGCATGATCAACTACTATGGCTCATTTGTAGCGGAGATGCGCCAACTTCGGGCACCCCTGGACGCGTTGCTCAGAAAGGACGCAAGGTTCGAATGGACAGAGGAATGCCAAAATGTATTCGAGCGTGCTAAGGAAGTTTTAGCCTCGGACCTGCTTCTTACACATTTCGATTCTAGCTTGCAGATAGTGGTAGCTGCAGACGCATCGGATTACGGAATTGGAGCTGTGATTCTGCACAAGATGCCGGATGGTACAGAGAAGGCCATTTGCCATGCAAGCAGGAGCCTCACAGCAGCAGAACGGAACTACGGACAAATTGAGAAGGAAGGACTAGCACTGGTGTTCGCAGTTCGTAAGTTCCATCGATATATATACGGACGAAGGTTCAAATTGCTTACCGATCACAAGCCGCTGCTACACATCTTTGGACCCAAGAAGATGGTGCCTGTGTACACAGCGAACAGATTGCAACGATGGAATCTCATCCTGATCGCCAGTTGTTGTGGAACGCGTTGAGCCGTTGACGATTTATTAGAAAAACACAAAGATTCCCCTTATACACATAGGCGTATATGCCGCGGGTTCACTAGGATCAATGCAATAACAACACGTAAACATAATCAAGGTGCGGCGGGTACGCCGCAGGCGGCTAGGTCACCTCAGCCTTAGCTATCAATAATGAGCGAGTTCTAGTTAACACCGAACAGCTCTGCAACATAAATAAATAGACAAATAAATAAATAATTATTCTAAGCATCCCCGCTGATACAAATGAACATATCTGATCTGTTTGTAGTGTACTTCTGCATCGGTTTGTGCCCTCGTGACAAGTCATTGGTTGATTGACATGTTATGATCAGGATGATTGGGGTAAAGGGGAGAGGGGGGGGGGGGACAGGTGAAGAGAGGCATCAACCTCTCTGTCTAACCAGAGTTCATCCGCGGCAATGTGGTTTTAAATTGTTACTTCCGGGATCCGAACTTGCAATATCTTTGCCGTGGATCACTTTCTGACTACGCCGCATGTCAGTGCAAAGAAGGTGAAGGCGAGGTTGCATGCATAAATGCACAATCGTGGACACAGATGTTTTCTTCACCATTACAAGTAAGTACCTGGTAATTTGTAAGGATTTGTAGAAACACTTGAGCTTAGAATTTTTTAGTACAGATAATCTTTTGATTTGGGTTGGCAGGCTTGACGATCAGGGTTCGGCACAGGTGGCTTCGAAAGCATGCTGGATATGGTTTTTGGGACGAAAAGCATTTGGGGTTTCGTTTTTGTGGCCGAAAAGACACAAAATTTGCGCCGTTTTTTTTTGTTCGACATTTCGTTTTTTGGAGATTTTTCGGGGTTGTAAGTCAAGGGGACTTCGTTTTTTTGCATTTTCTAAAAGTCACCTGGTGCCGAGCGCTGTTGACGATATGGTGCCCCTGCGGTGCCGACAGCACTTGCGCGTGTAAAATTTCATGCATGTAACAGTGAAAGGTTGCCCTTGTAAAGTAGAGTGGAGAATGCGCTCTCTATGGCATAGAGAGCGCATTCTCCACTTTTACACGCTTTGGCTATCTATTCACGCGCATTTATCGTCAGCACCGTAGGAGCACTCTGTGAAGTTAAATCTACTACTTGCACGTTCTGAGCTTGCAAATTAGGAGAATTTGAAAAATTTAAACTTTTGTTCCATTCGTCCTCCTTGTAACCTTGAGGGCTTCTCCATAGCTCTTTCCATGGTCTTTTGGAAATGTCTTTAGGTTGTCTACTTGATAACATAGTACGACCTAGTGATTATCGAAAACATGCACTTCGTTTGATCAAACTAACTAAAGGCTAGATTGGTTAGTTGGATGCATATTCCTTTTTTTCAAAACTGCGACGAGACGGCGCCGATGCCTACGAGTTGTGGCGTACACTACTCCATCAACTACTTTTTAGTTTGTTAAACGCGCCGCGTGTGAGTGGTCATTTTCGATGCTGAGTGAAACATACTAATTGAAATAGTTTCGCTGTTTTGAAAATTTGCTAACATCTTCTCCTTTGCTTTTCAGATCGCTTCAAAAGGTGACTTTTCTCGGGAACAACTTCCAAGATCTACCGTCTACGTCACTGTTTGGCTCTGTAAGCCATAGCAGGCTGCATACTTTGAATATTTCGGCCAATTATATAGGTTTGTCGGTTTGGTATACTCGTATTTTGTTCACATATGAGCGCAATCGTAATAAAAATGATGTTGCGTCACTCTTCATATATGTATGACATTGATATGAATATCAATCAACAAAGTGCCAGTTCATTGGGTGCACAAAATATAGCTACTGTTAGAAATTTTAATTTCAAACAGTAGCTATAACAGTCAAATCTAGTGACAGAATATGTGCAGATTCCTATAGAATCATAATTTATTCATAACTTCAAATCAAAAATTTCCTCGCGTCATGTTTAAAATTCCGCAAAAAGTAAATGCCTGAATAATGCATGCAACTCGAACTCTGAGGCTAAAATGACTTGGCAAGACACGTTTTTGTTCTATGTATCGCATGTCTTCAAATGATGATGCTAGACAGGATAAAGTAAGTATGAGAAGTGTGCATGTATCAGAGGCGATCCGATAAGTTTTCTCGGGGTCTGATAATAGAATTTCTTTGAATGGTGTGGAGATTTTCGAAGATTTTTGTGATGGCCCTCAGATTTTTAGCGGGCTTCGCAGCCCCTACTATTGTAATAGAAAAGCTATGCCTAGTGCCTGCAGCAAAAATTCTGAGGGAGCCCCTCCCCCCCCCCCAAAAAAAAAAGAATTATTTTTGCCAGTTTTATAGATTAACCCAAACTCTGGGATCATAGTTACTTATGTATGAAGAAATGTCATTCGCATTGTTCTATAACTGTTCTATAACTCAAGTACGCTACTTTCAAGAATTTTCGTGACCTCCAAAATCACAAAATTATCCTTAAATTAGAACCCAAGAAGGAACCATAGTGTTTTTAAATTTTCTTATTACCTATTTTATTACACAATTTTTTGAGTTCTAGTTCATTTGAACCAAATTTGTTTATAGCTCATGTTATCGCTCGCCGTGTTTTCAGTGAACCTCAATTCAAATGCCTTGAAAGGCCTGCCAAATCTGCGAGTCTTGGATTTGTCCAACAACGAGATTGTACTCAAGGAAAGCGATGTCGATTTTCTGACCCACACTCCACGGTTGACTGAAGTATGTTGCCTTTGATTATATGGAAGAAGTAGAACAGGAAGACAACCGGAAAGTGCCAGTGTTTTTTATTTCTCGTAAAAATTGACGTGCTGGAAATTGCTTTTATCTGAAATCAATTACTCCATGTGTAAGGGTTGAATTGCTGCGGATGTTAAATCGTACTAGGCACTATTTCGTTTCTTGGATTTTTTCCTGTTTCAAGCGGCGCTTATAGTTGGGAAGTAGAGAAGGCAATTGATAAAGCGTCTTTGCTTGTCGCACATAATTTCAATTGTTTTAATTTCGAAAAAAAAATTCACAAATTCAAAGAGCTTTTGAGATTTTGTTTCCTCAAAGAGCTTCGTATTTTCGTAAACGAAAATAGTGAATAGATAACCCACTATCTGCTCAGAATTTTTCCAAGCGGTGGGAACTGCAGGTCCATAAAAATAAATACAGTTTTATCTTATAAAGTACATGAATTGTAGATGACCGCACAGGATAGGACAATTTGAACGATGACTTTCAAAATGGTTTGCGATAACATTTTTGCGGAAACGAATGCGTCGTTTTTGGACAAAGTGCTTGCGATTTGCGCGTAAATGGCCGTAGAGAACGCACATTGTCAGTGTTGACGCAAAAATGTTGTCGATAACGCAAGAGCACTACGAATCTATCAAGCTATTAGTTGTGACCGAAAGTTAGTTCGCCATTTTAAAAAGTCATAACTCCCTTCCTTTTTGATAGATTTTATTGAGTTTATTTTTGTTTGAAAGAGGAAGCCTTTCTCTTTACAGCGGTACTCTCAACAAATTGTTATGAGAAAGTTCGAGAATTAGAAGCAAGCGAAAATTTTTCACCAAAATCAAGATTGCTCTCGATTGGCACGGTTTTTGCTCAGCTAGAAAGAAAAGCTATATCAGACAAAAATACTTCCAGAATTTTTCGTGGCCCTGCTTGGAAAACGCCAATTTTGATTAATTTTATTCAATTGCTTTTAACTTTCCATTTTTCTCATGGCAATTCGTGACCAAGGAGTTATAAAGAGAACGGTTTCGTCTTTCAAATAATACAATTTCAGCCAAATCCATAACTAGAAGAAGGTTATGATCTTAAAAAGAAATGGCGAACGAACTTTTGGTCCTACCTAATATATGATGATTTCGATGCCACTATATCGAAATGCAGATCGGTAAACAAATAAGCAAAACTGAATCTTTGCAGTTGTATCTGCGGCGAGCCTTCACTGCCACCATTAACAGAACAGTACAGTTTGATTTGATGATGAGGATGTTCAAAAAGGCTAATCTGAAACATTTGGAGGTAAGTGCAAACGTTTTACTTTATAGAGTTTCTTTATGCTGGAATTTCTGGTATTCGAGAGTTTCAAAGCTTATAAGGAGAACAAGGGAAAAGAACACTTTTTTGATGCATTTCTTTGGTTTCTTTCGACATCGACTCGTACCATCAGATAACCCATGAATATCGCACAGAATAATTGGAAATTTATGATTTTTTCCACTTTCATCTAATTTGTTTCATTCTGTATAACTTATGAACAAAATTTGCGCCTCTAGAAGTGTTTGAAGGAGAAGTCAATGTCTAGTAATGTCTCTGGGATAGAATATTTTCAAAAAGTTACTAGCAATTTTCAAGTTACTACTTATTCGACTTTTCGATTTAGTCGGTTAGAATGTCTACTTATCCAAAAATACAACATCGATCCAAGTTTTTCAATTATTTCAAGAAAGAAATTAATTCGTAAATTTGGTGCAGAAATCATGGCCTAAAAGATAGGCTTCTCAACCACTATGACTTTTCAATAAATTCTTCTTGAGCCAAATGTTTTATTTTCGAAGCGATCGCCCTACTTATCAACGGACTTGAAGTTAAAATTTATCTTGAAAGTGCATACTCGTATTCGCGACGAACAAGATATGTATGATTCTGTAAATATCAAGCTAGCATTGAGGTTAGAATGTACCTCAAAGTATGCTTTTAAGGTAAATCTTATTCTCAAAATTTGTTGATGTATACGGCCACGTTAAGTTTTTGAAATTAGGCTCGCATATAATTCATAAATAGCACTCAAGGTTAAATCATGCAGAAATTTTTCTTCTGTCAACAAATTTTTCACGCTCTGCATAGCATTCTTGTTCCATTTATTCAACTATACTTCGACTTGAATGCTCTCTTTCCCCACTGCGTTTTCCGTTTTGCAGCCTTTTCAAAATTGTGCATTCCGCATGGTAATTCAGCCATGAAATGAGGTTATTCTCAAAAGCAGCTAGAATTTTCTATACACCTTTGTACGATTTTTTTGTGCACTAGTTTAGTTTGACGCAGTTGCCTGATGATAAAGAATAAGTTGTTGGGGGAGATGTTGATAAAAAGGGAAGAATGATTGGTCACAATGAGAAACGTTCGTCTGAAAGTTTTTTCAAGGAAAGGTTGTGTGGCTTAGAAAAATGGACCGTTAGTGGCTATTTTATATATATTGTATTACAAGCTGTAAAGCTTAATGTGCAAGGCTTGGAGTGAAATTCTACTTAATTCTACGAAAAGTATTATAATCAGTTCGTCTAATACAATGTTTCGTTATGTACGATAACGTGGAGTTGTTGTATGTTGTTGTATAATCAATTCCAAATAACCGAAAAGTAAAAAGAAATTGAATTTTCATCCTTAGCTGCATCCGATTATTACATTTTCCCTTATATAGAAAGGGTTGCCAAAGAACGAAGACCAAAAATAGATTGAATTTTGATTGATCAGTCTATTGCTTTTAACCGAAATCTATGAGACTGCAATTCTTTTTATGAGCCTTTATCACCGCCATATGCAGACTGATAAATTTGTTACCATTTCCGTTTTGAACAAATTCGTACGCTTTAGTTAAAAAAAAGAAGCTTTTATGATGCTCCCTGAAAACCCCAAAATTTCAAATCTTGCGATATGTTTCCTTTTCAATGTGTGGTCATCTACACTGAACATTTTACAGGTTCTCGATCTGTCGTACAACTTTCTACAAACAGTTCCATTCGAATTGCCATGTCCGTTTCCATCATTAACCTCGCTTGATCTTCGGCAAAATTTCCTTAAAACTCTAACTGTCAATTCCTCATGTCTGTCAAACGTTCGATCTCTCGATTTGAGCAGGTAGCGGTTGATTTTGAAGTCTGACATACTAAATTATTATTTTCCAGAAACCAATTCTACTCCTTGACGCCATCTTTCCGGGAGTTGGCTTCTTCAGCACCTGCAGATACTTATGTGCTACGGAATCCTTTCCACTGTGATTGTAAATCGAACGACTACATCACTTGGGTCAGATCCACAGACGTTGTAAGTTTCTTATGTTTCAGCGCGAAGATTTGATTTTTTATCAACTTCAACCACATCCTGAAAATGGGTTACGGAATCTTTGTAAGCGATCTGACTTACAATTTAGTTCCGTAGCTTATGTCTGTAAGAAGTTGTGCTTTGAAAATTGCGTAAAGACTGTGGATTTTTCGGGGCTTGGCTAATAATTCTCCCCTTTCTTCATGATTTTTCGAAAGGAGCTTCTCAAACTTTTTGTGGTAGGAAAGGCTCAAGATCCCGTCTCGAAAGTAGATTGCGAATCTTTCCAAAGTTGGTAGCGAATTATATAGTCAACGGATCATTTTGAGGCAACTTCTTTTTGGGCACAGAGATGTTGTGCATTTCGTAGATGAAGTGAACTGTGCTACAGATTCCCAATACAAAACGTAAGCAAACTTAATACCCGAAAATTGTTGGAGGGTTTGCGGCCACGCTCTTTTAACTGCTAGAAAATTGTGCGTTCCTTAACTTTCTAAATAATTTTTGTGAATTATCTGCACAAAGTTCGCAGCTAATTCCAATACTGAAGAGAATCTGGAAGACGTGTAGCATAAGATTGCATGCTGAAAATTCGGGATCGCTTTTTTCGAATTTATCAAATCTCTACACTGAGTTCTTTTTGTGGGCCGTGCTACAATTTATACAGTTTGATGAATCTGCCTATTGTATATTTCAGATCCGAGATAAACACAGTTTGGTATGCGATCGAGCCAGCCCTCGGAATTATGTCGGTGCACGTCTGGTAGAAGTTCCACTTCACAAATTGGACTGTTCTGTGAATCTATTCGCAATGAGTTCGCCACATTATTCCTTATTCACGGCTCTTGTCATTCTCTTCACATCTTTTCTGCTTTGAAATGTATTCTTTTGATCTGATGAGTTAACATTGGCGAAAGAGGGAGGAAAACTTCACACAAGCTTCAGGAAACAGAGTTCAGATAATGCGGATTTTTTTTCTTGCGCGAAGCAGACGAAGTGATGTGATCAGTTGTGATTCAGTATAAAGTACCCAGTTTTGGGCATACCCGTTTTCGGTGTGTACCTCTTGAGTGAATGACTGCGAAATTTTTTGAATTGTAGCGCCTATGTAAATGGTCCGCTCAGAATTAGCTTTTCTCGCTTTTCAGACTTTTCTAGTCCACGTCATACCTCATTGGGAGTGTTCAAAATTTTTTGTTATTGTATTATATGAGCTTCTTATGTTTCAGTATTTACAAAGACTTGTACTTGAATATACGGTTTTGCAGTTCAAAAACAAATTGAAATTTATGTTCAATCTGGAAATCAACATTTAAATATGATTCACAGTAGCGCTGTTAAATAACACGGTTTAGTAGATATCACATAATTATAGTGCTTCTGCGGTGACGACAACACTTGAGCGTAAAGAAATGGTTGTGAATGCCGTCCACTTGCTTGTGACTTGCGTGTAAATAGAGCGCACATTGTCATTATTCACGCGCAAAAGTTGTCGGCAACGCAGCTACACTACATTCAACATACCTACTATTCTATAGCTGTCTATATCATTATACCATAAGTAGGACTGTACATGCAATTGTATATGCCTTGTATCTTTCTCTCCATTTACTTCGCTCAGTTATCATGCTATGCCAACTTGTATAGTATTCACTGGTATCCCTTCTGAAATCTGAAATTTTTTTTGTAATTTTCAATAATTTGCATTGATTCGTTGATGATGACAAGCTACTATCATATTGCTTGTTGTGACGTTAGAGATGTGACATTTCTTGATTGAAGTCAATAAAAGTTCAGAAATGATGTCTTTGACTTTTCCCTTTGGCTTCTTTGAGGCATTGCTTTTCTGGAACTATAGTTCCTTTATCCTGCCACAATCTCTTGTCGCATATAAATTATATAAATTATATAGACTCATTCAAAAAATTGTCAAAGCTATAAATGAGGCATGGAAACAGAAAAGACACCGTGGTCTACGATATTTCAATCTCATGGAATTTGAAAGGTGCTACAGCTACTCCAGAGTTGTCGCAAATACTTTATCACAGTCTAGTCATCACATACGTTATGTGTGCATTTGCACTTACTGCACAGAGTTGCGTCCCATCCTGGGCATCGTTGACCATTACAAAGGATTTTTTCTTGTTTTTGCCTTTAGCATTCATATACAGTTTTCATTTTTTTCCGAACATCGATTGAAACATTCAGGTTCATTCGGACTTTGTCCAGGATGGAGCGCACAATGTGCATTGTACAATCTCACTATTGGTATTACTTGAAATGACTATTGGGCTGAGAAGTCAAGCGACACGGGTGTGAGAAAAGACGAATAAGAGAATTTTTTCTCTTAGAGGAAAAAGCAAGCTATATATGAACGTTACATACTCGAAAAAGACCTCTAAATAAGTCGTATTCTAGCGAGCTACTACGCGGCTGCCATGCTTAAACACTATCACTGACAGCCAAAACCGGCCGTCAAACCAGCTGAATCAAAGGTTAATCATATCGTACCTTCGAACATGCTTAGAAAACATACATGAAGTGAAGAAGTTTCAAATTTTCAAACATATACGAAATAAAAAAGTTTATCGAAAAAGTCATTAGTATATTTTGCAACAATTTTTCCCTCGATTCTCATTTATCGCCACCCAGTATTCTTTCGCTTCATGTTGTGCTTCACGATATGAGATATCTTTAAGAATTTTCACAGTTATTTCTAGAGGACACTAATCCACTTCTATGGGTCAGATTGCCAGGTGCTGTCATTAGGAACGTACCCTACGAACTTCCGATTTGATGAATTAAGGTTTGAAATTCTGTACGACAGTTCATTCAAATTCTTTGTAGAAATGACATCTGACATATCATAAAGAACGTTAAGTAGCACAGCTAGAGAATTATCTCTAGGCAGTTAGAAAAGGCTGGATTGGAATAAAAAAGCAACATTTTAGGGTCACCGTGAGTCAAACGCAACTTTACAGAATGAGTAGAATAACAACACGAAAAAAAATACAACGCAATTATGAAAACAAGAAAGTGACCGGAAAATCCATGTCAGCATACGCTGTGGTTTGTGAGTAATTGTTTGAAACAATCAGAAGAATAATCTTTGTAAAAGTTTACTGACTAACATGAAGTAAGTGTCCAGATCGCTTAAACGTTATGTGATTAAGCAAGTTTTCGTACATTGATTTGAAGAAAAGAAGTCCGTCTGATAAGCGATTAGAAATCTCAGTGAATTTTATCTATTTTTGTAGACCCATAATTGTTCTGAGCTTCCCGACTGATCGGAAACAAGTGATCATATCTGAACTTTGTTCGTGTTGTACTTCTGAATCGGTTTTGGTGCCGTCGTGGGAAGTCATTGGTTGTTTTGACATGTTATGATCGGGATGATTGGGGTGAAGGGGAGAGGGGGGGGGGGGCGACAGGTGAAGAGAGGCATCAACCTCTTTGTGTAATAATGCAGATTTCACCCGCGGCAATGCGGTTTCAAATTACTACTTCCAGGATCCGAACTTGCAATATCTTTGCCGTGGATCACTTTTTGACTATGCCGCATGTCAGTGCAAAGAGGATGAAGGCGAAATTGCATGCATAAATGCACAGTTTGTGGACAAAGATGGTTTCTTCAATGTCAGTGCTCACTACAAGTAAGTACCTGATAATTTGTAAGGATTTAAAGACGCACTTGAGCTCAAAAACTTTAAGTACACATAGTCTTTGGTTTTGGGTTGGCAGTCTTGACGATCAGGGCTCAGCACAGGTGGCTTAGACAGCATGGTTTTTGGGATGAAAAGCATAGGGGTTTCGTTTTTGTGGCCGAAAAGACACAAAAATTGCGACGTTTTTTTTTGCTCGAGGTTTCGTTTTTTGGAGATTATTCAAGGTTACGGTTCAGGGTCAAAGAGGGCTTCCTTTTTTTGCATTGTCCAAAAGCCACCTCATGCCGAGCCTTGAACTTGGTGACAAAATTTGTGCGGTTTCCTAGACTCATAATTGAATCATAACTTCACGTAAAGAATTTCGAGTCATACTTGAGAATGCCCGAAAAGCAAATGCATAAATAATGCATGCAACTCGAATTTCGAGGCTAAAATTACACACCTTTTTGTTCTATGTCTCGCATGTCTTCAGTGATGATGCTAGAGAGAAGAAAGTAAGTATGAGAAGTGTGCATGTATCAGAAGCGATCCGATAAATTTCCTTAAGAGAGGGGCGGGCAATTGAATTTTTCGAGTGGTGTGGAAATGTTTGAAAGCTCTTGTAGTTATCAAATTTTCAGTGAACTTACGATTGTAGTTGGACAGTTGGGTTAGGATTTATGAAAGAGTCATAGTGCTTATACACTATACTTTCTATTCGCTTGTTTTTCGTATATTACCTGTTGTAGTGTTTTCATTTGAGCCAAAGTTGTATATAGCTCAGGCTATTGGCTTATTCTCAGTGAACCTCAATTCAAATGCTTTGAAAAGCCTGCCAAATCTGCGAGTCTTGGATTTGTCCAACAACGAGATTGTACTCAAGGAAAGCGATGTTGATTTTTTAACACACACTCCACGATTGACCGAAGTATGTTGCTTTTGATTTCAAGGAGGACGGAGAACACGGAAACAACTGGAAAGTGTCAGTGTTTTTGATTTCTTATAAAAGTTGACATGCTAGAAATTGTTTATATTTAAAATAAGTTATTCTACTCCTGAGGATTGAATTGCAGCATATGTTGAATCGTAGTGGGCACTCATTTCTCGGATTTTTTCCTGTTTCACCCGCCGGTTATAGGTGGGAAATAGAGATGACAAATGATTTTACCCTATTTTCAGGTGTATAAGCCGCACCCTTTTCACTCTAAAGGCGAACACGCCAAAAGACTGACTGTCATCATGGAGCGCGTTAAGTGAGAGCAGTATGCGATAAGGCGACCGCTTCGCGAGACATATGCGCGGCGGCACGCTTGGGTCTGCTCGCGTCTAGAGCAAAAAGGGTGCGGCTTATACACCTGAAAATAGGGTAATTTTATTTTCAACTAGCTGGCTTACCCGGCTTCGCCGTATGTTCCGAATAGAAAATTCCATTTCTCAACCGATCGGGACCAAACTTGGCACACATACACTTCGGGCCCCGGCGGGTGTCACAGTCCACTTTTCGTTATCGATCGATGTCGATTTTATCGATCGATGACGAAAAGCAGCCTAGTCCACTTTTCGTTATCGATCGATGTCGATTTTATCGATCGATGACGAAAAGCAGCCTATGACACCCGCCGGGGCCCGAAGTGTATGTGTGCCAAGTTTGGTCCCGATCGGTTCAGAAATGGAATTTTCTATTCGGAACATACGTACAGACAGACAGACAGACATACAGACAGACAGACAGACATACAGACAGACAAACAGACATTCAGCTTTATATATAAGATGCTTACTTGTTCAGTGTGCGTCGAAGTGTTCGTCTTTCCTTCTATTTGTCGCGCATGTCATTTTGTTTAGATTTTGAATTTTTTTTGAAAAATTCAAAGATATGCATTTGTTATATTGCAGTTTGAATTGTTGACTGGCACTTGTTATAGTGCGAGGGCACTATAACAACTGCCAAATATGCCAAATATACCAAACTATTTGTGCGATGATTTTAACACTATCGAAGTATGGAACAGTACTAAAATGTCTTTGCAGTAGTATTTGCGGAGAGCCTTCACTGCCACCATCAACAGGACAGTACGGTTTGATTTGATGATGAGGAGGTTCAAAAAGGCTAATCTGAAACATAGGTAAGTGCAACCGCTTTTATCAATTATAGACTTTCCTTATGTTAATTTGTGTGATATTCGAGAGTGTTATAAAGAGAACAAGGGAAAATAACACTCATTTGGCTAGTTTTTCCATTGCTTTCCAACATCATCTCATACCATCAGATAATCCATAAATATCGCACAAATTAGTTGGAAATCTGTGATCTATTCAACTTCAATGGATTAGCTCAATTTCATATATTTGTGTACAGAAAATTTTGCGCTTTTATAAGTGATTAGAGCAAAAGTCATTGTTATGCTGGGATAGAACCTGATAATTGAAACACTTAAATCGTATCAAAAGTTTAAGCCGCTCAGAGTGCTAACACAACCATCAGAACTTGATCATAATTTTCTAAAGATTTTTTTTACTTCTCTTTTTGACTAGCAATTTTCAAGTTACTTATTTGACTTTTCGATTTATTCAGTCAAATGTCTACTAGTATCATAAAGACCAGTTTGAATGTTCTGTTCGAAACGTTTTTCAGAACATTTTTATTTTTTTCGTCTTCGGTACAGAGCTTATGGAATAAGGATAGGTCTCTCAGTCACTATGATCTTTGATTAATTCTTCTTGAGCTATCCATCGCTCCATCTCAATCCATCGCTTGAATCCCGAAAATAATGATACCTTGAGTGTGCGTGGAAATAGAAATGTTTTAGCGCTTTTCTAGATATCAAAGTATCAAAGTCCAAAGTATAGAGGGGGGGGGGGGGGGAGGCACGAATACCCATCGATATGGATTATTCTGGATTTGGCCTTGTCTTCCTAGTCGTTCTTTGATTTTTGCCCTCCTGCTTTCGTTTGTCTGATCTCCATCCGAAAGCATAATTTCTGCCTTTATATTTCAAGCCTACTTTCCTCATATTTTCTGCCTCATGTCCGTCTGAAATTTACTCTGCTTATGCTTAGCAAGTGAATTAGATTCAATGGGTAGTGTTAGTAAGCGCAAGTCTGAAGGTCGAGACCTTTAACTGAAGGGTTTGATGGACTTCATTAAAGTGTAGAAGTAGATCTTAGCTGTTGAAGAAGTGTTCTTTATGTAAATGCAACAATTCAGAAAGAGTTCATGATAGTTTCCTCAATTTGCTCATGTACAGCTGGGGACCTCTTTCACTGCTATCAACAAGTTTTATACTTTGTTCTCGCTTCTGTACTCTTTTCCGCACTTCTACAAAATTCTTTTTACAGAGCATCAAAGAACGATATTAGCCTTGAAATCCTTCCTGATAAGCGATAACACGGATCACCAATTAATGACTTTAACGCCAGAAGAACCTTCACTATTATAAAACATTATAGGCACTACTTTCTCCCATGGATTCACTTCCTCACAACGCAGTCTTTTCTTTTAATCTCTTTACTGTTCAAATTAATTCTTAACCACCATGTGGATATCGCGATCATTCCTCAGACTCATATAATAACTTTAGTGGGTCTATGAAAGCAATAAGTTTTTGTGAATATTTGCAAAGAAAAGTGATTCACAGAAATGGAGAACTTCTGAGCTACAAATCTTTGACAAAATTTGTGAGTGACATGAAAAGAATATTGTTTCTGTTTCAACATTGTTTTGGAGAATGAATGGGAGCGTTTTAATGGATAGCAGGTGAACCCTTTGGAAGGTATTATGCATGTCCCGTCCCTTGTGGATTTTTCTCGTACATTTTTGATTTCGTAGGCAAAAAATCTATTCCTACAAACTGCGTCAGTGTCCTTGTGCCTTTCTCCTTTCTAACGAATTTGGTCGCCAAAAGATTTTTTGAAACAATTTAGCTCAATTTTCGGCGTACGACCAGACATGTCTACACGATGCTTGACGAGGCAGTGTCCATTTAAAATTTTTCATCACTTCTTTCAGAATTGCTAATTGCATATGCTGTTTGGAGTCTGTACAAATTCGAATGACTGCTCTTTTCAAAGCATAAATCTGCTGTGTAGACCCCACATTATGCGAAAAATCGCTTTCTCGAACCTACTAACCTTGAGCGCGTTGGGATGCTTGCAGACATTGAGGTTTCTCATCATTTATGCGATAAATTGAGATAGCAACCAATTTTATTAGACCTCGGTATGAAAATGAAAATATGCGCTAAGATCACTCCTTTGAAAGACCAAGTAGCGCAATGCGTGTTGATTTTTTCCAAAATGTCAAGATTCTTTATATACTCACAAGCATTCAAACAAATCCAATTGCCATCCGTAGATCTAATCTAGATTACTTACGAATTATCCAATCTTTTCCTCCTCGCTTTTCCCTCAGTCCTTCACAGTCACGTACTGCGCTTTTTTCAATTCACAGAGTTCATAATGTTTCACGCAAGCATTGCTTCGAAATCGTTACAAATGTAAAAGAAGAAATTTGTCGAACAGACTTTGTTGCGATAATTCTAAAAGGTGATGGTTCAAGTGCGCGATTTTCGCGCCAACTTGTAGTTGCAGTATCAAGATTGTGAGCTATTGTAATCAATCACAGAAGCCTAACAATGAAAGGATACTTGGTGCCGTGGCCTCTTGAAATGCAACGTACACCATCAAATGCACCTTGAAGCGCTGAGTCCAAATCTATATTCGGTATATGCTGTGCGCGTTTCCGAAAGAAGTTTTGAACATTTCTTGCCACCAAAATTCGCACTGTTTCAGTAACAGGATTCACCAATTTTAATGGTTGGAATGATCACTTACGCACTACAAAAGAGCGTCCAATAAAACAATTTCTCCGATTATCCGAGTCTAAAAGCCTAGGTACTGACGATCCTGACTGCTTAGACGTCAAATTAATATGGAAAAAGTCCATAATTTCGTTCAGAGAGTAGCACAGCAGATAATCAACTCACAAGCATCAGCGTTCCAAAACGCATCTATCGATATAAATCACATTGCAAAAGGCCAGTGTCACCAAGTATTTTTTCCTTGTATGGTCATTTCTATGTCAGCGACTGATGTATAGCCTTTTGTCTTGGGCGCATTTGGTATATGATTGCTTTAGGCACTTGCCAGGTTGGCATTTACATCTTGCAATACAAGTACGAGTAGCGAGGGAATTCGAAAAGTTAGTTTGTTATTGATATTCAAGAATTCTTTTTTAGCTAAAAAATGTGTTAGGGACCTTCTTCCTTTCTTCTCCCCTCCTCCACACTCCCCCCCCCCCCTCTCCTCTCCAAGATTGCCGCAAAGTTTCCAAAAGTGGTTTACATTGATTGTAAAGCTGATGATGATTGGTTGGAAGAGGATCGATCACAAGCTGGTGATTGGCTGAAAGAGGAGCGGTCATGCACGCCTATGATTGGCTGGAAGAGGATCGACGAGCACGCCGGTGAGTGGCTGAACGATAGAGTGAGTTTGGAAAAGTGTTCGGATGATTTGTAAACTATCTACAGTGGGAACATTCCAAAACCTTCGAGAAGTCACGATGGGATGAACAGAGGTACAGAGGGGGGGGGGTTTGAAAAGATTGCGTGTCAAATGGTGTGTGGCTGCCTGATCTAAAAAATCAAGAACAGGCAAGATTAGTGGGTAATATGGATTTCCTTGGAAGAATGTGCCCAATTGCTCTTATTGAAATTCTCAATAAATCGAAGAATGGTGTGCCCTCCAGATAAAATCTATGCCGTTTTGGAGAGACTGCACGCGGATTCCAAGTCTGACTTCTCTCTGACGTGGGACTATGAGCATTTTCGAGTCAAAAATTGAGCGCGCAGCTAGAGCAAAATTACTTCAACTAACCAGGAAATTGGCCGATTTTAGTGGTACCTTCGACGCCCCTAGAATGGGTCAGCTTTGGATATCCGACTACATTGTATCATTAGCACTTCCTATTCACTATGGAAGGGGAGATGACTGCTTCTCTCTAGATATTGCCAAGTTCTGTCCCAAGAAAACTTACATAACTCGGCGCTCAGAGGCACACACCATAGAGTGGAAACAGATTTGTTAATAGCGGTCAACGCATTCACGAAAACTGGGAGGGCTGCCTCAGATCTACCGCAGATAAGGAATTATAAGTGGAGATTTTGTGTCATCTTTATTACTAATTTGATTATTTCGATAACTAAAGTGAGTACCCATTTAAATTCCTGATTTTTGCGGGATTTCCACTGTTTTGCAATTGTGAATCCGGTCCCTAACTAACAAACTGGATGTCATGTTCGTTATCAACACGTGGAGCTTAAAAAATCCCTGATACTGGTCTTGTATTGTATGACTACCGTCTGAGCATAGAACGTCAACAAAAATGATGCTATTTTCGAAATCATCATCCCCCTCCACCTGAGCAAAGTTTTGAATTTATTTTCAAATTCAAATTTCCACTTTTTTTCATTTCTCTCATCCATAGGTAGTCTCCGATGTGGTATTTCGTCAATATTTGCCAGTTATTCTTGCTTTTTCCTCTAAATTTCCAAGGAATGCGAAGTGCTCTGCTTAAGAAAGGCAAGAGTAACTAATCTCCTTTTCTGCCCTTAAATGCTACTTATTTTCATGCTGCTAGGAAATCTGTTTACACACCATTTTGATATAATATTGTAGGCAAGAATTACACATGCTTGTTTTGAGACAAGAATTTTTCACTCTGTTCAGCGGTTCAATGGGCTTAATCTGTGTGTACGGCTTTGATGTAGAAAGGATCTCCTTTTAAGAAAACTGGCATTTTTTCCATGCTGTTCGCATAGAAAAATCTTATTTGCTTTTATCAGCAAGTTCTTTATTTTGTTTCTGCTATGAGGGATCAGAAAGTTGAGCATTTTGCTCGAAACTATTGCCGTTGATTAGTTTCCTCAATAGTGATTAAATTTCATGGAACAGAGGCACCAAACTTTTCAGTCTTGTCAAGTTTTCTAGCAGTTTTTACAGAGTTCAAAAAAACTCAAGTTACCTAACAGTAACGTTCTTGCTTGAATCTTTCAAATTAGTAACTTCGTGCATTAGCTTTAAAAATGTCATCGCCATGAGATAAATACTATAATCGTTCAACTCTTCAGCTGTACTCGAAGATTAAAAAAACATCTGGAAGGCGTTCTTATTTTTAGTGAACTACAATTCAAATGCCTTGAAAGGCCTCCAAATCTGCGAATCTGGATTTGTCCAACAGTGAGATTGTACTCAAAAAAAAAGCGATGTCGATTTTCTAACACACAGGCCATTGGTTTTAATTTTATAAAGGAACAAGAAGAGGGAAACAATTGGAAAGAGTCAGTTTCAACTGAAATTAATTACTCCATGCGAGAAAGTTGAATTGCCGCATATCTTGCACTGTACTGCGCACTAATTCATTTCTTGAATTTTTTCCTGTTTCAAAGGCAGGTTATAGGTGGGAAGTAGAGGAGGCGAGTGATTTCTCTACTGTACCGTCTGAAGAGGCAAAATCCCGATCTGAGGTAGTAAACTAGGATGAACCGCATATCATTAGATGCGTCTTGATAAGATAAGACAAATCTGCTTTCCATACCTACGATGCGTTCTTTGGAAAAAGTTGAGCGTTCAAGAGTCCAAATTTGGCAAACATTCAACCTGACAACCTTCATGAATCAGTTGCAAAAACACGAACGTTTGTGCTTCCGGTGACTGTGAGTCTTCCATAAAATTAGTACACTTTGTATCATGTTAGTTATGCACTCACTAGTTGCTTTTGAATCACATTATTCGCTGAAACTCCAATGCTCACACTTCTGAGCGCTTATAACTTTTTCCAGAGAATTTGGAATCGCTCATCAAGCTGCATCTAATAATACACTATTTATTCCACTTTGCCACCTTAAGTTGGGATCGTTCTCCTAAATGAGATTTGTTTAGAGTACATCGAAGTATTTGCCTTTGCTCCTGTTTGTCGCGCATTTCAATTTGTTTAGATTTTGAAATTCTCTCAAAAATTCAGCGAACTTTCGAGATCATCGTTTTTTGAATAGCTCCGCACTTTCGTGATCGAAGACAATGCCGCGACATTTTAACATTTTGTATATCAAACACTCAAAGGCAGCAGCTCGCCAAAACCGAGTATCCCGAAATTTTGACAAGGAAGGTTGCTTGCACCCCAAACATGAGAACAGAGCAGGTCCGAGCGCACAGCTTGTTGCCCCTGTCGAACTGCCCCTAAACTCGTTATGCGCAAGCCATTCTAATAGGCGCGGACGAGCTTGCGATTCTCCATGACCCGTCAGAGAAGGCATACGCAATGTTATAACTGCGAGGATCCCGCTACGATTCTACCTCTCTAACCATGGCGGGATGTGCTCTACTCGTCCAAATTCAATGGGAGGCTTTGAGAAATGATAGTTCTTGCCATTTTCGCGCTCTTCAAGGTGGATTTTCGGAATCAGCACCTCGAATCACCTCAGAAAAAAACTTCAAGTCGAGAATCTGCCGGGCCGCTGCCTTTAACACATTGACGACCGCTTGACAAACATGGTGTGTCAAGCAATGACTACCTTGTGGGACTGCTTGACACACCATGTGTGTCAAGGCTTGAATTCTGTTGAAAGGGCTACTATCCTAGGGTAAACTCACTCTATGAGCTTTCTTTTGCATTGAATCTAGGGATGACCACTACCTTTTTTGTCAGCCTTTCAGATCTACAGTAGGTGTACTGTAGATGGCACTATGCTCAATTATAGTTGAAAAATGTGGCCTGGTCCGTAAAAGGCCTTGGTCCCAGAACGCAGACAACTAAAAATCTGCATGGTCATCAATGTGCTAAGTGCTGTTGACGCGCAAATGTTGTCGGTGACGCATGAGCACTATAACAAACGTCGAAGCTACTAAGCCATATGATCATTTCAATGCCATATACAAAATGCAGATCGGTAAGCAAAACTGAGTCTTTGCAGTTGTATCTGCGGCTGCCTTCACTGCCACCATTAACAGGACAGTACAGTTTGATTTGATGATGAGGATGTTCAAAAAGGCAAATCTGAAACATATGGAGGAGCTGCTAAGTGCCTGGAGTGCTGCAGTAAATTCAGCTTGAAAAGGTGCTGGTGTTGAGCTTAAGCTCTGCTTCATATAATATTTATTTTGCAGTCTGTTCTGTCCGCCCATGGCTGTGAGCTGAGACCAGCTCTATAGAAAACCGTAAAGCCAAGATGCCGAAGTAACTTTGAGATCGAAGGCCAGCAAACTACGATAATCATTGTGCTTATATTCAACCGCTCCTGTGTACTTTACCATTTTTTGCTGTCTGCCATTTTTCTATATCTAGAGAATCGCAGTTACGGTCAATAAACTTTTTTATTGGAGTCTACTTTGCCTATCAGAACGGATTTCCGAGTACTGAGCGTTGAAAACTGCTTTCGTAATTGCTTATCTGCCGTCTTCATTCACTTCCTCTAATTTACACTTTGTGATTTTTACTGCTTATATTTTGTGCGCAATTTTTGATATACAAGACTTGTTTTTTGGCCAGATTCTAACTCAAATATTTGTTATATTGCATCCTGTGAAATCAAACTATTTTATAATAGTTTCGTTCTGAAATGTTCCTCTCGTCTCATTTGTATTAGTGATGACAACGAAGAGGGACGTAATTGATGAGTCTGGTCCGTATTGCTTTTATGGTATACTCATGATGGACCTATACCAACATCAAATGGAGTCTATGTAAAGCGTATAATCCCCTTAGCTCCGTCTACCTGATAGTTCGGTCCCATAGCTCCACAAGTTTCCATCCATTGAATCGTTATCTCTTGCGCCGCATCTGCTGCTGATATTTGTGTATATTCGTTCCGTTTCATAATTTGTGAACGCTTTTCTTACCTTTTGTTGCAAACTGTTCTCTCAAAGGTGTTCAATTTTATTGGGAATTTTTGTACCAATCAAATCTACTTCGTTCATTCCAAAATTCCATGTTTTCAAATACACGGAATAATAAATTCAAGAGATGATAAAGCTAGCAAAGTTGTGCTGAAAAACGCTTTCCAAATTTTTTTTCTTGAAAAACCTTGAGTCGAGAAGAAAATTGTCCGTTTGCTGTGGCCTCCGTTCGCTGTAAAAATCTTGAGCGAGAATCAAATCAAAACGTTTGCTCAGGTGCAAGAAAGGTCTAGTACATTTAATGGTGCAGAAATATTGAGTCATTGCTCTTCATCGGAAAACAAACTGGGAGCTCAAAAAATAGTAATTTTTGGCACTTTCTGAAAGACCGATAAATGAGTCTTGCAGTACTCTCTCACAAAAGACTTATGCTCTTTACTGCTTTTCAAAGTCTATTCATGCGCATGTAATTCCACAATTCTTTTTGAAAATTATTCGTGCCACAAAGTCTTTCTTGTAGCGGCTACGATTATATAAAAGCGTATATCGTGTGCACAAAGCTTTATTGTTTGCAGCAGTTCTTACCGTATCCAAGACAACTCCGAAAATAGTTGACGTGACTCGAAGATGAAACTCGAAAAATAATTATGTATCATGTGTCTATAACGTATTTTCTCCATTCAAGCAAAAAATTTTTTTGTTCGTTCAGAGGTACCATTTTCTGGCTCAGCCCTACCATTGCATGGTAGTCACTCTCTGTTAGTCAGAAAAACCTTTTTCTATGGTCACTTAACTAAACGGGACGAAATTTTACGATTTGTCTTGGAAGAACTCTAGATTTTAACATCTTGGGTATTTCCGGAATATGAATGTTTTGCCCAAGACTCAATTTTTAGAAAGCTGCATTGTTGGGCGAGATGCACTTAACTTAAAAATATCTTGGCTGAAGCATATGCATATATACATCATTATTGAGCCATCGATAACTTTTAAATGTGTGCAGCTGAAAAGGTTTTTCCTTCATATGCATCCTTCATCCAGATCAATATTTTTGTCTTTGACAGATAATTAACCTCTTTAGATATGTAATTACAAATCACAAGTCAATTTATTCTTGCTTCAAAATGCTTACCACAGTTCTGTTCTGACTTTTTAGCAGCAGCAAAATTTCGCATTCCTTATAAACTTGATTTTTTCTTGAGATTATTCCTGGATATATCTCACGGGCCAAGGCAGCCCCTTGAATCAGGAATAGAATATGGTCATTATTCTCGAAATGTGATTCTAGCGGAAATTTGAAAGATAATGTAATTTGATCTTGTTGGGAAAAAAATCTGACAGTTTGATGCTGTTAGCAATCTAGCGCTTTCTACCATTCTGAGAATTGAATAACACACTGAGGCGACAATCAGCTTTACAACAACTAGTTTGCAACTCTCTCATTACCGAGCTGATATTCAGTCAAATCGAGCAACATGTTGAAAGCCAGTTCCGTATGAACACAAGAAAACATCTTCTCTTCCTCGTAGAAAGCAGCAGCGTTGCAGTTTTTAACATTGTTATAGCGAAAACTCAACATTTCTCAAAAAAGCTTGGTAAAAAAACGCGCTTTGCCAGATGAACTTATATGGAACTAACAAACTCCTAGTTTTAGAGTTATCTTTTAAGAAGATCTTGCTGAATTTTTTCCTTTTGCATTTTTTCCTTTTGTGAAGTGTGTGTGTGTGTGTGTGTGTGTGTGTGTGTGTTTGCAGAAGCGTTTGGGCTTGGTTTAGAAGGGAGCTTGCGTTTTCTGCTCATATATAGTGCTCCTGCTCTTGTAAGAGAGTTCAAAGCTCACTCGGGTAAATGATCTGATTAAGTAACGTTCCGACTTTGATAAGTAACCGGATCATTTTTAGGTGAAGAGCTGTTTTCCGCCAAAGTGTAGAAGAATCTTAACTGAGGAAGAACAGGCTTGAAAAAAGTCATCACTCTCCCCTGCGTACCGACTAGAGGAGTCAGGAGTTATACCAGCTCCGTTGTGCTAGGCGAGGTAGTGCTATTATTATAGGGAGTAGTCGGAAATTTGACTTCCGCATCAGTTGGTGTAACAAAAAACATTTACTCGATCCTCACTTATCTCCTCTTAAAAAACTTATCTTATAGAACAACTGGCGGGAGATCATTATAGATTTATCAGTTCGATCGCTCGAGATCGGCAACATTGGATAGACAATATGGACATTTCTACGCTTGGTTAGTACTGAACTATCATTTTTATTCACCTTAGTAAGAGGTCCTGGCTCTCATATGCAGGCATGTAACCCATAGATTTTTTGCAATGTTAACAGCAATTTTGAATTATGTGTGAGATGTGTGAGATTTACCTCTATATGCACAGTTCCACGACTGTTTTTCCACCGTAAAAGTTTGCCAATGCTTAGAAAGGAGATGTCATCCATGTGCCAGTTGCAATCTTTGATGATTCATTCGAGGAGGGCATCTTGAAACGAGTAAGCGCGAACTCCTCTACCGACAAAAAGTAGCCAGGGATTGGCAACTGCAAATATATGCAGGTAAACTGGAGGTAAAACAAGTTTATAAGGTAACACTAGTTTACATTCGTCCTATGAGCTCTGCGCAGTTGTATTGAAAAGTAGTCCTCTTTGACAGGCTGATTCTGGATGTTGATCGCTGCATCTCAAGAAAATCTAGGTGTCCATTTTATGCTCGGAATATTCAAATGACTCAGAGTTATTCAGCTTTTGAGCTGTCAAGGAGTTTAGTTCTACGACTCTCAATGTGGAACTTGAATTGGATGCTTGTAATCAGACGAACCTCTGGCAGAGAAGTCACCAATGCTTCTTTCGGGGAAAATCGAAGCGGAACAAATGCTGGACAATGGAACAACTGTAGGTACACTGCCGTTAATATATTTTTAGATGCACTAAATTTCAGACTGTGAAGAGGGGATCCGCTGCTTTGCAAAACTGCAAGCTATATACTAGGTTGAGTCAAAAGTAATAAGAACTTTTCGCTCTTCATCTCAACTTATCTACAGATTGTGTAGAAAACCGATAGACAAGTAATTCAAACTGTGTTAGACAAGATTTCTGCGAGAACTTCAGCAGTTCTGTAAAGATTTATCTGGATTATGGCTGCTGTTGAGGCATTTCTCCGTCGATACTTCATAGGTCCAAGAAGAGATGTGAAGTTTGCGTTACTTTTGACTTACCATAGTATATGGGTACACATCCATATAGAGGGCTGCATTCATGGTTTTGTAGATGTTTCTATTCAAATAAGAAAACTTATATGGTCCTACAATCTGTATTTTCCTTGTTGTTTACTTTGAGAAAAAAAAAGCAATGGGAAATTAAGACTGTCATGTGCGCAACATGTTTTACTGATCTTATGATCAGAAAAAAAGTCTTCTGTTAAGAAACCACTGTCTTACCAAACAATGATTTTTTACCAAATTTAGAGCTGCAAAGGCGCGTCTAAAGAATGAAGTTCTAACACGGTTTTCTTACGTTTACTCTTTCTAGCTAATCAATGACTAGCACTTGAGACAACTGAATATGTAAGGCAGTCCATAAGCGCAGTTGCTGTATATGCGTTTGTTTTGAACATGAACCGTAAAGACTTATGTGAAATACTGTATTTGGTGCGATCCCGACTATCTGCTTTCGCAACCAGTCTGTATGTATATCGTAAGGACCAGTGGCCTGCTTGTAGTGATTATTCAATTTCTAGACAATTATAAAGCTGCTCTTGAATCAAAAAATGAGTCTGTCGGTGTGCGTGCCGATCGACACGATGTTCTCTGAGACAACAAAGTCCAAAGTATAAGGCGACGGTTATTCACCAACATGGATCTGAATTTGGCCTTTTTCATCTAGTCTCAGTGCTTTAGTTCGTCGTTGCGCTCTTGTTTGCCATTTTCCATTTACGACAACATACTCTCTTTCTTCAAACTTCGTGCGCTGCTATGTATTTACATGTTTTCTGCTTTCCTTACGCTTGAGATTTATTGTGTCAATTTGTGACACTAAGAAATTAACTCCAACGGAGTCTTTCGAGTGGTAAGCATATAAGGTTCTACAAAGGGTTGCATGGACTACATTCAAGTGTAAAGATAGATCCTTGTCTTTAGAGAAGATACCCATTCAAATGCGGTATCTCAAAAATTATTTGAAATGATGTTTTCCTGATATCCCTCGCGTATAGTTGAGAATCCTATCAGCAAGTTTTATACTTTGTGTTATGATGGGGCAAAAAAGCCTAAGTTCCGACTCTACTCAGCACCTGAATTCTTCA